GGAAGAAGGGGAGGGGAGGAAAGGGAATAGGGAGAAAGGAAAGGAAATAAGGGAAGGGAAGGAAGTCAGGGGAGGAGAGGAGGGAGGGAGGAAGGAAAGAAAGAAAGAAAGAAGGGGATAGGAAGGGAATTCGGAGGAATTGCTAACAAGCCCTTGTCCCCCAATCAAATACCATCCTTTAAGCTACGGTTCTAATTTGTCACACCCTCCAAAACTCTGGTTGTAAGTCCAGGACTAGCCGTGATTGAATGCGTCATGGCGTGAACTGACTCACCTCTCACCCCCAGCACGGAGGGGGTCTCTGCCAGGCGGTCCGCCAAGGAGTTGAGGGGTACGCTGTCCTGCAGCCAAATCACCAAGACCGGTTCGGGGGGTCCCTGGGCTCCACAGCTGAGGTTGAACAGGGTACCGGCCGTGACCTCCAGGTCTTGGGGTTCCTCGGAGAAAAAGGGGAGGCCTGGCCACGAGAGAGAAGAAACGGCTTGAACCAACGAGGATTGGTCAGATTCGCAAGTGGCGCTAAACCGCCGTTTGTGGAAACAGCTCTGATGGCAGTGCAAAGCCACGATGGGCTGGTTCACATCAGGGGTGGGATTCAAACTTTTTAACAACCGGTTCTGTGAGCGTGGCTGGGTGGATGTGGCCTTGTGACTGGGTGGGCATGGCTGCTGCTTCTTCTTCTTCCTCTTCCTCCTCCTCCTCCGCCTCCTCTTCTTCTTCTCCTTCTCCTATTTTTTGCAGCATTCCCCCCCACCCAGTTTTTGGGGCCTCCTGGGCCTCAGGGAAGCCTCCTGGGTGAAATAATAAGACAGCAAGGAGGATCCTGGCACAGCTGATCATTGGAACAGCCGATCGTGGGGAGAAGAAAAATCCTTTAAGGGGTGACTGGGCGCGGGAGAATGCAGCCATGTCGGGCATGCGCACGATGTCACGCATGCGCAATAAGGACTGACTGGGTGGCATGATTTGCCAGTTCTCCAAACTGCACAGAACTGTAACAACCGGTTCTATAGAACCAATCTGAACCGGTAGAATCCCACCCCTGGTTCACATGAAACAAAGATGAAGAATATTATGGCTTAGCTTGGGGGTAGGTGGGAAGCCAAGCCAGGATGGCGTGGTCAACAATGTTCAAACAAACACATCTTGGCTTAGTTTTATATAGGAATCAAATCAGTGTTTCTCACCTTTGGTGACTTGACGGTGGGTGGACTTCAACTCCCAGAATTCCCCAGCCAGCCAAGCCAAGCCATAGGTCTCGGGATATTGGATAATATTTGTGAAAAATAAATTATTTAAAGGGAATCAAACAGGGGTCCCCAAACTTGGCAACTTTAAGACTTGTGGACTTTAACTCCCAGAATTCCTCAGCCAGCATAGCTGGCTGAGGAATTCTGGGAGTTGAAGTCCACAAGTCTTAAAGTTACTAAGTTTGGAGACCTCTGGAATCAAACCTCTGGCCATTTATGCCGGTTGCTCCTTGAGGCTACCAGTAAATAAAATTCCCAATTTCTGAGCATGGTTGGGCCTCCTCAGGTCTTTACAGGGGACTAGACTTCCCCATGTTACATTTACCTTCTAACTGCAGATAAGCCTCTTCAGAGAAAACTTCAGATCCGTTGACTGAGGCCACACATTGGTAATTTCCCATGTCCGAGAGCTGGAGGGAAGAGATGCTGGAGGGAGGGGAGAAATGGAGAGGGAGGGGTGGAAGAGATGAGGATATTGGTCAGCAAAGTAGCTTTGAGCATAGATTGCGTTGTCCACGAGACCGGTGCATGCGAAATCCATGCCTGGGCTGGTTTATCAAACTTAAACCAGCATTTCTCAATCTTAGCAACTTTGAGATGCATAGACTTCAACTCCCAGAATTCCCTAGAGATCGCATATGTGTATTTCAACTCCCAGAATTCCCTAGATAGCTTACGTGGACTTCAACTCCCAGAATTCCCTAGCCAGCATATAGGAACTTCAACTCCCAGAATTCCCTAGATAGCTTACGTGGACTTCAACTCCCAGAATTCCCTAGCCAGCATATAGGAACTTCAACTCCCAAAATTCCCTAGCCAGCATATATGGACTTCAACTC